AATTAAAATAACTAAAATTATTATATATTTATTATTTTTTTTTCTTACCATTCATTTTTTTATTTAAAATTTATTCGTTATGATGTAATTAACAATCTTTGGAGGAAAAATAAGAATGCATAAATGTGTGCTTACATCATTACCATAAAAAGAATTTCCTAAATTCTACAATAAAAAAAAAGGCAAATTAACCGAAAGAAGAAATAATTAAATATTCCATTAAAAATAAACAATAAATATCATTATTTATGCCACGATGTTTTTATATGCATAAAGTTTTTGCTAATAATGCAGCCACGCTAATAACGATGACGTTTATCAAAACGTGATATTTTAACATAATTGGTAACAAAACCAGATAAAAGTGCATAAAGGTTTTTTATCTTTCCTTACTTTTAATCCTTGGGCTTGGATTTCCATACCAACTTTTTTCCCTAGATAAATTATTCGATCTTTCTGTTAGTTATCGTTTTGAGAGTTAGGTATTCGTCTTTCGAGATTAATATTTAAGTTTTTTCTGGACTTTTTTGTCTTTTTTCTTAACTCTTTTTTAATAATCACAAAATCTTCTCGCACAATTTGATCATCTTTTTTTTTCTTCTTAAAATTGTATGAAATTAATTCTGTTGTAACCAAAAAATTGAAACAATTAAAGAGACCAAAAAGTTAAATTGTAGGTAATTATATCTGATTAACAGTATCACAATTACCATGATCATAATTTCATCGTAATTAATTCCAACATTATCAGATTTACTTTCTTCATTTTTTCTTATAAATTGTCAAACTTAAGTTTAATTATAACAATGCAGGCAGATACCCAAATCATCTTAAAGAGTTTATGATTTACCTAGTCTTTGACTGGAGCATTGGATCGATCCATCAATGAACTAACTACTGAACTTGTCATCGGATCTTCTCCTAATTTATTAGTTGGAGCTGAGTGTTCATCTTGTTACCACATACACGAACCTTCAGCTTTGACCCTTGTTAGATTATCTTTTCTCCCAATGAATTCATGACAACTTGTCGAATGAGTTGGTAACCTTCATACACACACAAAAAAATTAAAAGCTACCAACATATCTGTGTGTCTATTCCAACACAATATTTCAAAAAAGATCCAATCCCTTTACATTCAAATAAATGTTTTGCATTTTCAGCCAGCATTAATATTAATATTAAGGATTCGTTCCTTGCTTTTTGGAGCATTGATCTATATGAACCAATAATAATTCTGATGTCAGTTGTGCACAACTTTTACTGCAAGCTCGCTGCCATCTACAAGAATAGTTAGTCACTATGAGATATGATGATAATAATAATGACGTAAACTTTGATCACTATAATGGTATTGACAAAAATAGTTTACAGTACTAGAAATTATTGTCATACATCACACAGATCTGCAGAATCAAGGGTTTTCTTTGTTATTTTTCTAGATCAATTCTTGATTTATCACAAGTGGTACGTACAACACGATAACTTTCAGGATTTGATCAAGGATCAGAAAAAATGCAGAAAAGCCACTTTGGTGTTAGAGTGAATGTACATATGTAAACTCGATAAGTTGGTCACTCGATAAGTCGGTTTACTCAATAAGTCGGCCAAAATTTTCACCCCATTTTCTTAATATTTAAGTAATTTAATTCGATAAGTCGGTTTACTCGATAAGTCGGTCATATGAGCTCACTCCCACATGACCGATTTATCGAGTTTACATATGTACCACATTTTTATGAAATGCTATCAATATTTCCAATAAGCTTGGTCTTTGTGTGATTTCGCAATATTACAGACAAGTTTTTTACATTTAAATTTGTTAATTAATCACTAATAAAAAAATTATATATATTTGTTTTTTAGCATTTCGCATATTTTCATATTTCTAATTATCCTTTGTTTATGCTACTCTCAAAATGTCAGCAAGGCGTCGCAGAAAATGTAGTGATACTGACGTACCTGTAAATCTACAACACCTTTATCTATCAAAGAAACACTTGGTCGTGTGTATGCTGATTGTAATTCTACTTTATTGTTGATTATTTTAAGTTAAGAATACTAGCGCCAAATGACAACAATAAATGTAATATTTTATTATTTTATTACCTGCAAATTTTTTTATCATCATCAAAAATGTCGTTGATTCTATTCATGATCACATTGGTAAAAATCACCACAAAAACTAATGAAACAGTCTCTGGCGAGGTGGTGCTTTGGCTAAATGAGAGATTTCGGTTATTTAGAATTCAAGATGTTTAATGAATATTTATTTCATGATATAATTATTAATCTAATTACTCAAATTTCAGACCATATGTTCGTTTTCATTTTCAGCACGTCAAGCATGTACAGTCCTTGCTGAGGCCACCTTAACAAGATCATCACGGCACTTTTTATCTATTGGTAGGTATATTGCACCGGGCATCTCGTTTTCCATATCCTCTAACTCTTTACTTGTATATGCTGGTCCATACTTTTTAATTTCTTGTTTATATATCAATACCCAGCTATCTTCATGCCCATTGAATGTACCCCTATCTAGATTGTCAAAGAAGGCGATCATATTAAATCCTGTTTCGCCATCAAATTCCAAAGCATCTTCACCTGCTATGTAAAAAAAAGCTGTTCCTCTGTCATGTACATTCATTGAAGCAGGCCATTTGAAGTCAGGACCTACACGATCTACAAGGACATTATGTTAAATTATCGCAAATGTATTACTTGTACACTAAACTGAAAATTTCAGCTTTACCTAGAAATTTCAGAGCTTGCCCTGGACTTGTTTCATATTTGAGAAGAGAACTAACGGTCTCAGGTGGATTGGAAATTGGCATAGGTTAATCAAGCTGGTTGGGTGCTATATCAAGTGTTTATTGAGAATGAATTTTGATCATTTAATAACGATGGAATGTTAATGACAAAGCCAAACCTTTTTTTTTCCTTTCTTTAAAAGCTTGGGTATCTTGAATATACTCTCTCTTCCTGTAACAAGGATAATAAATAAGAAAAACGGTATAGATTTGGAAGGTTCAATATATTTTTGGTGTTTACCTTTCTTTTTTCGTTAGAAGCAGACATGATCAAATAAATTTCATGAAACTAATCAAAGTTAATATGTCTGTAATGAAATTACATCACAATTACACTGATATTTTATTGATGTTATCTGTGTACCTTAACAGTCACAGAACATGTCACGCAGATCAATAGTAATAGGGAGTTAGTTGTACAGTCAACCCTCCATAAGTGCACCAGACAAGACCGTGCACTTATAGAACAAAAGTATTTTATTGGTGTTATTTAAATGTCAATGTTCCTTCAAAAACTCCTAACCCAGTTACGATTTGCTTGGCCTTTTCAACTAAAATAGCATCACTTAAGATTAAGCGTCAAGTTCGTTTCATTGATTCCCTCAACCACGTCAATACAGAGGAAGGACCAACTCCATTCATGATTTTTTCACCAAGGGGCATTATGTGTAAGCCACAATCAAAGGAATAACTAATCAAAACTTTGTGTTATGTTTTGACCGCCCTTAAGGCATCTATTATCTTTCATTTCATCCATTGTTTGCTATCTTGAAAATGTAGGTATTTTATAAACGAATATCCATTCTCAGGCTCTCCACAAAATGAAAATCGTGCATCGCGATCTCCTTTGGAATAACGTGTTAAAGTCCATAGATCGAGACGGTTGGTTCATTATCGATTTCAATTATGCGTGCAGTGCTCTTTCAAATATTCCTAGCACACAATTAGCTAAAGAAAGTCATGAACCCGAGATTTTCAAATCCCATCACAACGAGAATGTTGATATTTGGTCTGTCGGATATTTAATTCTGTTGAGCTTCAAGGATCGGATTAATTGAAAGTCTATGCAAGGATGAATTCAATAGATCAACAACCGAAGATGCTTTGCGGTGATTTTGGAGGAAATATAGAGATGTTCTCGAAGATTTTTTTGGAAGAGAGAGGAAATGGATGAATCATAACTAATTATTGATAAAAATGTGAAACAGCTACGTCTGTTTGAAGGATTAATTTTTTAAATGCTTGAGTCATCCGTAAAATATTAATATAATAATAATGATTCAAATTCTGCCCGAACGGGTTGTTAATTTAGATTATATGGCAGGGTTGCGCAAACCCTTTTTCAACAAAAAAATCTTCGGCGTTAGTGTTAATTTAGGCACGTAATTTTTTTCCCGAATCTACTAGAATTCACAAATAATATCACCTTGACATTACGCGTTCATGGAAGCCTAGTTCTGGATTAATCTAATAAAGAATTTCTGACCGAGTCCAATCTCTACACCCACAATCGTGGTTTAAACAAATAGCGCTATTAAATCAAGGCACAATATATTTATGGTATAAATATTACAATGGTAAATATTACATATTTACGAGAGAAGGCCATACATAAATTAGTTCAATAATGGATTATTATTGTTTATCTGTAGTGATTGATTTGAAAATTTTGACTAATGTATAATTTACAATATAATGGACAAAAATATAATTTGCTTTTAATACAAAAACTGTTATCCATAGTCCTTGACTCTTTTCGTTTAACAATGTCTATTTTATCATCTTTTCTCATCAAGTCTGTCGGAGGGTTAATTTATCAAGTATCTCGAGTGCCTCCTTCGCTGTTTAATTGTGGAAAAATCGTGCCAATGAAATACTTTAGTTTCCATGATCCTTGTACCCAACCAAGAACAGAAAATTTCCTTTATTGATTGTTTACGAAGAATCTCAAATATCATCGCCCATTATGATATGTCAATCCTTCAAAATAAAGAAACCAAGACAAATCTATTAATCAATAATATATAAAATTCAATTACAACGCGAATATTATATGTAGTAAACCTTTCTTTACTTTAGGTAATGAATTAACATAATAAGAGCAATTTTATTATTATCATTATTTTTATATTAATTAATATAAATACATCTATCTATATATACACATACACGCACCAAAAAAATTATTTATTGTTTTTTGGCATTTTCTTCTTTTCGCCAATATCCTCTTTTGAATAATAATGAGGTGCCGCTAAATATTTTTATCAAGACAAAAAAAGTATTTTTGTTAGCCATATATTAAAAATAATGATTATTGATATTACTATTACGACCACCGTCACCACCATCACCACCACTAACCTTCAACAAGCCACTCAGGTTTTATTTCCATAACTTGGCGCATATATTCTTTACTCGTAAGTACTAACTCAAAATATAATACAAATTTTGGTTTTTCTTCAAATAATGAACTGCTGGGATGTATATGAACAACGCGACTTGGATCTCCAAATTTTAATTTGTGATATGAATCACTAAACATTGTCAACCTTGCAGCATTCATGAAAAATCCAGAAACTATTGACTATTATTAATAACACAATTTAAAAAAAAAAAAAGTTCAATATAATGTTTTTTTTCCATACAAACTCACGCTAATACGCATATATTTCTATTAATAACTATTCAACTAACTAACCTTTTGTATTGGAATTATGTCACCAGGATCAGGATTTGATTTTAATTCAACTTCAGTACGATCACATAATTTCACTAGTTGATCACGAACATCTCTTGCTCGATTCATGGATCGATATACTATAAAATTTTCATAACACCAACCCATAGAATAATTTGTTTCTGCCCACTTTATACAAATTAATTTGTTTGCAAAATGGCAATGTTATAATTCATTCAAAGGGAATATTCAACATATTATATTTTGTTATTATGACCACTTACTTGTTCCCAAATATTTAGTAACATGAGATGATCTCCACCAGGTTTAATGAAATTTTGATGAGCCTTATCAGCGTAAAATTTTTTATCCTTTGGTCTATAAAAAACCGAACTTTGTACCGTTAACATACAAACTATAGATATAACCTATAAAATATTTATTAAAATAATCAGAATAATAAAATTAATTATAATAATAAATATAAATATAAATATCGTTTACCTCTTCTGAGCAATGAAATTTCTCAGATGTTATAATTGTTTTAGATAATAAAGGATCTATAGGAAACTCGGCCATACGTCTACCCAATTTTGTTAATTCACCATCGTTGTTTAGTGCACCAAGTGCATACAAATCATTAAGTGCTGAAATCATTCCTTGTTCATGAGGTGGATCCATAAATTCAAACTTCATCACATCTACACCAATACTCTATAAATACAAATAAATATATATATAACAAAAAAAGTCATATTAATATTATACATTTGTTATTAATAAAAGTAAATATTTAGTATTATTAATATGCTCACTTTTAACAATAGGATAACATTAGACAAATTTGTTCTTTGAATTTCTGGAACTGTATCTTCTTCTAATTCATTGGCATAAGCATATTTCGTATATAATCTAAAGCAATGTCCAGGACCAACACGTCCTGCTCTGCCAGCTCTTTGGTTTGCCGAAGCCCTTGAGCACTAAAATATTTTTTGAAGAGAAAAATTTTATAATAATTATTTCTTTATAATGCATGCGTCTTCATTTATTAGCTTTCAATTATTAAAAAAAAAAATTTACCGGAACAACCAATAATGACTCCATATGTGTTTTTGAACTATAATGATTTTGTTTAACAAAACCTGGATCTATGACAAACGTAACACCATTTATAGTAATAGAAGTTTCAGCAATATTGGTAGCCAAAATAACCTAAATATAATAAAATTTTTTATTCATATTAATAAACAATTTTAAATATAAAAAATAAATAAAATTTTTTACAAACTTTTCGAGCACCAGGTGGTGTTGCCTCAAATATTTTAGCTTGCATATCAGGTGGAAGATTGGAATAAATTGGACATATTATTAATTCTTTTACTTTACTGCCAAGAACTCTACATGTTTGTTGTAAACTTTCTTGAACAGTCTCAATTTCTTCTTGACCCTAAGTAAATAGAAATATTAGTAAACAACAATAAAATAATCATTATAATCATTATTTATAATTATAAATGTAATGATATAAACTTACTGTAAGAAAGACTAATATGTCTCCTGTATTTTGTGAAATATGTATTTGCATAACGGTAGCTATTGCTGCAGAAATGTAATTTGCTTCTGGAGCTTTTGTATGACAAATTTGAACTGGGTAAGGTTTACCTGGAACTATTATTATTATTAAATTGTTTAAAAAAAATTAACTTGAAAAAAAAAATTATTAAACCTAAGAATACATCATAAGTATTATTAAAGCTTACTCCTAAAAATTGGTGCATCATCAAAATAGGCAGCAAATTTTTGAGCATTTAATGTTGCGCTAGATATTATAAGTCTAAGATCAGTTCTGACTCGAGAAATGTCCTTTTTATAGGTAAATTTAAAATCAGTAATCTTATTTCAAAATAAAAATAAAAGTTTTTTTCCTAAAATTTTTTTTACCTTGACCAAACCAAACAAAATATCAGTATGCAGAGTTCTCTCATGTGCTTCATCAATTATAAGACAGGAATATCCATCTAATAAAGGTTCACTCAAAAACTCGCGTAAAAGCATACCATCTGTCATATATTTAATTAATGTTTTGTCTGATGTACAATCCTCAAATCTAATAGAATAACCAACCTAATTAAAAAATAATCAATATTTAATTATTGATTGCTATTATTATATATATATATATATATATATAAAGACTATAACTTACCTCGAATCCAAGTTTAACGTTCATTTCTTCGGCCACACGAGCGGCAACACTCATAGCTGCTACTCTTCTTGGTTGTGTACATCCAATTTTT